GCATCAACAAATTCCTTGTGTTCAGTCTAGCTTTTGATTATTGTACACTCTTGCAATTTGAGTCTTATATCATATATATTATATAGTAGCTTGATAGTTGTCTTGGTTGAGATTATCATGTTAGATTAAGTGTTAATCAACAAATTAATAAAATCAATACACTAATCCATATGAGTGTTTTGGGTTGTTCATGTTAAAAGAGGTTCTCACTTAAATTAAAATATCTTTGTGAGAAGATGTAATTGTAGTTGATACAGATTAAGATTAGAAGTCATTCGAACTTAATTTAAATTAACTTATTCACCTGAAGTCATTCGAACTTAATTTAAATTAACTTATTCACCTCCTATAAGTCTAGCATGTAATTCCTCGTATATAATCGAGTGAAAAGATTCTACACTTAAAGTAATGTAATTTTCTCAAAACTATGTTTTTGTCTTTATAGTCTTAAAAGGTTAACCATAATCCTTACCCTAAAAAATTGAAAATTAAAGACCAGCCACCTAATTTCTTAACTTAAAACGATAAAATTTATTTTATTTGTTAATTTAATGTCCTCCGCGTATTGCTCTAGCAATTAAAGCGTGGGGTCCATTGTAATTTTTTCCTATTAAGATTAAGCTACCGAATTTTTAATTTTTTGTATCATATTTTTTTTATATCCTATTGAAATATAACATGGTATGAATTATTATAATCTTATTTTATTATATCACTAAGATGTCCCCATGCAAAGTACGTTTTTTTATCATGATTAAACAAGTAAATGTAAATAAGTTGAATTACTGTAGATAAAAAATTAAAATGCAATTAGTCATAAAAAATATAAATATGTTGAGTTACTGTGATTAAAACGCTAAATTTTAATTCGTAACATAAGTTATCAGATCTAAATAGGGCGATGTAATTTATTATATAAATTATTATGATCAATCACTAGATTTGGACTATAATTGAGAGTTGTTTTCGATATGGCATTTGAAAATAATTTTTAGAATCCCATCTTCTTACCTAATTCCCTTACCCTTTATGCAGCTGGTAATGCTTTCAGAAATGTAATTTTTTAGGCATGGCTCAAATTACACTATTTCTCGTTTTGGTTGTTGGTCACGATTCTTTTTCTTTGGCCGCCAAAAAAATTAGATGTAGACACATGGCAAGACATGAAGGTGCCATGGAGTTTCTTGCTTTGGCAAAAAGGTTTTTAATGTTTGTCCTATGCTCCAATTTTCAGGAAAAGCATTATATGTGTAATTGCATGATTCAAGTGGTTGAATATGAGGTGGAGTTTGAATTCAAGTTTAATTTTTTTTCTCTTTTGTTTTTTTTGGGAGGGAAAAAAGGGAGGGAGACTTGAATCATTTACCTCAAGAAGACAAAATTTTATTGATTGGTAAATTGGTAAATTCAAGTTTCATTGATTGTATAAAATGTAGACGAATGAATAAGAATGAAGGAAGTTTAAATCGATGAATAATAAACTAATTTTTATTCGAACTCACCGATTTATGCTTCGTTTTGATCAATACACACTCGCCCTATTTTGAAAAGCTATTGAAACAAATTTGAACTCATGTTCTGTCCTATATAGGTTGGCCGGTGGACTAAAAAATTCATTGAAACTCAAATTCATTTAATCCCAAGTAATTTATTTTTATGGGGATTGTATACATTCAAAATTTGCTATGTCATTTATAACTTTAAGAGTAATGAGTTGTCACAAATGAAATGATGATGAATTCATTTAATGTTATAATGAGACTCATCATTAAATATATTTCATTATTATTTTATTAGTAACAACTCATTATGTCTCCAAATTATGTCATTCAATTATGTTTAAAAGAGGTATAGTCGGTACGATTCCACCAATTTGAAAAAGACAAAAAAATAACCATGATGAGGGTTGAAACGAGTAAAAGGTAAGTTAGAAAACACATTGCAAAACTCGGAAAGGAGAAATAGATGAGAAAGTGAGAATTCTTAATTATAATTAGGGTTAGAAATGTATTTGAAAAGTGTGACACTACATGACTTAATTGACAACCTTAATGTGACAAAACATCCCATTTTTCTTAATGCTGAGATGATCAACCCAATTTGAAAATTAAACAAATTTGTAGACAACGTTCTTATCAGGCATCAAAAATTGACCTAATTGTGCAAAACAACAAGGGTTAATAGTACTTTGGATCCCTAAAGTATGTATTTTTTGTCAGTTTAATTCTCATTGTATCAATTTTGACAATTTGGTCTCTAAAATATTCAATTCGTGTCACTTTGATCCCTAATCAGACAATCTGTTAAATTTTTTGACGGAAGTAATCATGTGTCATTTTTTTGAATAGTATTACCTACTCAACACGTGATCATTCTGTAAAAACTTAACGGTTCGTCTATGTAAAGACCAAAATGACACGACTTGAATATTTTATCAAATTGTTAAAATTAGTATAATGAGAATTAAATTGACAAAAAATATATACTTTTAAAGACCAAAAATATTATTAACCCAAACAAAAATAACCCAATTTTGAAAATATAAACTTGTTTAAATAGTATGTTGTGATACAAGTGTTTCATTTTTTTCAATTTTCATTTCTTTGTCATGTATTGTATGAAATAATAGAACAGCAGAGACTTTTACTTCGTTTTTTCTATCATTTAGATTATGTCATTTTTTGATTTCTAGGGGTCGGTTGTGGTGGTTTGGTTGAAAGAGAATATGTTACTCACGAGTCCAATACGACGCAATTAACAAATGAATATGGTTAGTGTGAGAAAATCTTACACGATTAATTAAATGGATTAAATTAATTATAATTAGGATTAGAAATGCATTTAAAAAGTATGACACTCCCCGACTTAATTTACAACCTTAATGTGACAAAACATCCCATTTTTCTTATCTCTGTGAGCTTCGATTTTTAATACCCAGAGAGTGAAAAAAGATATGAAAAAGAAAAAAGAAAAAAGAAAAAAGGGAAGAACAATTCCATGCAACGCAAATATGGCCGGTTTTTGCTCCTTTACATGCCTTCACGTAAAGGTGCAAGGTGGTGTAGGATATGAACTTTCCTCCGAGTCTTCAATCAATACTATGATAACATTTAATGCCCGGATTTCACTCATTTGCCTCTTGAGCAAACGATACTTTTTGTGCAAGGTGGTGTAGATGACAACTTTCCTCCGATGCTAATTTTTTTTTCCATCCGCAAAGTGCCGAAGCAAACTTTTTGCATTGCCCTTTTTTACCACACCGACACAAATACTTTTTTGATGATGCACAAAAGTGGATTATGCACAATCAATAGTCGAGTGTGTGATATAATATAATTAATGGACAATTAATTGAACAATCAATGACAAAAAGATAAATATTGAGTCAACATGCAGATATATAGTAGTTCGGTTAAGACGACCTACTTTACTTCAAAAAACTGCAACGGTGGCCGAAAAACTTTTATTAATAAAGTGAGAGAGAACAAACGTTAGCTTCGGGAGAGGCGTNCACAATCAATAGTCGAGTGTGTGATATAATATAATTAATGGACAATTAATTGAACAATCAATGACAAAAAGATAAATATTGAGTCAACATGCAGATATATAGTAGTTAAATTAGGGCGACCTACTTCACTTCAAAAAACTGCAACGGTGGCCGAAAAACTTTTATTAATAAAGTAAGAGAGAACAAACGTTAGCTTCGGGAGAGGCATGGTAGCTACGAGAGTAGTAGCTATGGGTGTGTAGAGAGATATAAAGAGATGTAAAGAGGTGTCCTCTCATAGAGAGAGTTTATTATTTATATGTACAGATTCTTAGTTGAGGTGAGGTAGTAACGTGAGGGTTAAGACACTAGTTTCTCGAAGAAGATAACTACAAAAAGTAAGTACAATTAAAGGTAATCTTGATCTTTAAGAGTGGGTATCTCGATGATTACTCCTCACGTGTTTTAATCATCTTGAACTCTTTGGACCTTGGGTTGGGTCGAATTGGACTTGACCTGCCTGAAAGCTGTTTTGGGCTTGCTTAATTTATTGGGTCTGACCCGATTTGATCTGGGCTCATCACTTTATGCATTGCTNGTAAGTACAATTAAAGGTAATCTTGATCTTTAAGAGTGGGTATCTCGATGATTACTCCTCACGTGTTTTAATCATCTTGAACTCTTTGGACCTTGGGTTGGGTCGAATTGGACTTGACCTGCCTGAAAGCTGTTTTGGGCTTGATTAATTTATTGGGTCTGACCCGATTTGATCTGGGCTCATCACTTTATGCATTGTTTTCTATGTTGACAAGTAACCGACGGAAAAGTGTATTTCGGAGTAATGATACATGAACTTAAAAATTAGATTTAAAAATTAAATTTGATAATCTCAATCAATGAATAGGTAGTGGGTCCCAATAAATGCTAAGACCCACAGTAAAATTAATGGTTGAGATTATCAAATCTATTTTTTAAATACATACAGCATTACTCTTTTCTTATTGTGGGAGTTACTTTCACGNTTAAAAATTAGATTTAAAAATTAAATTTGATAATCTCAATCAATGAATAGGTAGTGAGTCCCAATAAATACTAAGACCCACAGTAAAATTAATGGTTGAGATTATCAAATCAATTTTTAAAATACATACAGCATTACTCTTTTCTTATTGTGGGAGTTACTTTCATGAAGCGAAACAAATACATAAAAATTACTTCATTCGAACATAAGAATATAAAGGAAGCCAATTAGGAATTACATATATGAAATCGTGAAGAAAACCTGAATTTTGAGATTGGACAAAACCTATAGTTCTGCCCTTGCAAATGGGGCTAACGATGCTGAAACAGTCGTCAATTCGTCATAGTAGGTTCTAGCATTTCAAGAGCCGAACTTGCACTCCGAAGAAATTAATAGAATGCCCAATAAAGAACTAACACCAAAATATATGAGAAATAATTAATACTTAACTTTTATACAAATAAAAGAGCATTCCAATAAACGAGTCTCTAGATGTTTCGTACAAAGTTTAGGGGAGAATAAATAACAAACACAATCCTATATCATCGTGCATAGAGACTCTTTTTTATGATTTAAAACTATAAAACTATTCTAATAGAACAAACTTACGGTTGAGTCGAGTTAGACTGTCTTCACATACACAAGTAATTCCTATATACAAAACAATTTAGCCCAATACTTTTAAAAACTTCAGTATTTGGAAGAACTAAATCAGATGAAGCTAGCTAAATGAAACAAAAGAAAAAACACCCTTAGCTATCTCTATAACATTGAGCATCACCACAAAAGTTGAAATGAGCACACTCAATGCAACGAGAGCCGCCATCCCCAACGCCAAAGATGGCCTAGTATTCATCAAATAGGACTGTAACAACCCTACAGCTTCACAGACATCCTCGTAGTAATGTTCATAGTACTTCTTCTCCCACTCCATCCAATCTGAAGGTGGTTCGTGGCTTGTTTCCATCATTTTCATCTCCTTAATGCGCATTCTTAGGACTATTATATTCTTGTCCACAAGCCTCCCGTCATAATATCGGTCATCCGCTTTCCTGCTTGCGCTAACTTCCATGTTTACACGTCCAAGTGATCGTATCCGGCGAGGAGGGTGGATCGAAAACCGCCTAGCAGGAAGCACAGGGCTAGAGATCAAGGATGCTTTCATTGTTGAAGAAGGAAAGACGTAAACTTGTGAGGAGTTTGTGCAAATGATTAAGGTTGATGCTAAACTAAGAGGCCATAGCATAAAATATTTATAGAGTAGAATTGCCAAGAAGTTACGTGTAACAAAGTATTGTCGTGGGCATGAAGGGACGTTGCGGCTAAACCGTGTCTACTGCTGTTGATTATACGTGTAATTAATAAGGTGTCGTGTGGTTTTGATTATCCTTTTTTGTGTTTAGCACCGCATTCGGACAATACTAGGATTACATAGCAAGGACAATATCATCATGAGGGACCCACTTCTTTTGAAGTTACTTTGAAGNTTTGATTATCCTTTTTTGTGTTTAGCACCGCATTCGGACAATACTAGGATTACATAGCAAGGACAATATCATCATGAGGGACCCACTTCTTTTGAAGTTACTTTGAAGAATTCAAGGAACTTACCTGCAAAGGAGGAATGTGACGATGATAGAAGGTTGTGAGGTTGTGAAATTGACTGATTCAATCNAGAATTCAAGGAACTTACCTGCAAAGGAGGAATGTGACGATGATAGAAGGTTGTGAAATTGACTGATTCAACCATTTTGTGAAGAGTGAAATTTCGCCTGAGTGCATACCAATCATTGTGTCCACTACACAAGATATTTAGGTCGGAGGGCCTATTTAAGATGACAAAGCCTTTCCAAGGCCTGTGAGGATCAAATCCCCTCCCCGGTTCTCCTGTCCATCTGCTGTAATTGTTGCGGCTAAAAAAAAAAAAAAATTACATTCAGACTCTTTAAAATTTGTGACTTAATCACTCAAATTCTCTAATATTTAAAATATTATATATTGACCCTTTGAAATTTGTACGCGCATAACACTTAAATCCATACANAGATGACAAAGCCTTTCCAAGGCCTGTGAGGATCAAATCCCCTCCCCGGTTCTCCTCTCCATCTGCTGTAATTGTTGCGGCTAAAAAAAAAAAAATTATATTCAGACTGTTTGAAATTTGTGACTTAATCGCTCAAATTCTCTAATATTTAAAATATTATATATTGACCCTTTGAAATTTGTACGCGCATAACACTTAAATCTATATAGTCAATGTCTATTAGTATATCTTTTAGTAAATTACACACAGATCCCCTGAATTTTATAGGTGTATAATAATTATACTATTTAAGTATAAAATGCTATACTTAGACAAAAGATTTAAACATTTTAAATTTTACAACTAAAATACATGTCCTATTATGACTAATAGATAGTATAATTGTATACTAATTACAATTTTTAATAAAAAATTTGGATTTTTTTTTTTTGATTTTATTTCAATAATTGATACAATAGAACATAAATTTTGTTTATGAAATTTAAAATATTTGATATTCTATTTTTGATTGTAATATTTTTGGTTTAAGTATAACATTTTAAACTTAAGGGGTTTAAATAATATATGTTTACAAACTTTAGAAAGTCTAGGTATAATTTATTTACGGACATATTTATAACAGGGGTCTAAGTATTACGTGCGTACAAATTTTAGGGAGCCTATGTGTAATATATTAAATGTCAGAGAAACTGAGTGATTAAGTGACAAATCTCAAGAGGTCTAGATNTTAAGGGGTTTAAATAATATATGTTTACAAACTTTAGAAAGTCTAGGTATAATTTATTTACGGACATATTTACAACAGGGGTCTAAGTATTAAGTGCGTACAAATTTTAGGGAGCCTATGTGTAATATATTAAATGTCAGAGAGACTGAGTGATTAAGTGACAAGTCTCAAGAGGTCTAGGTGTAATTCTCCCTATTTTAAATATAAGGGAATCTAAGTAATTAAGTGATAAATGTAGGAGAATTTAGTTATAATTCTCTCTATAACATATCAACCACCAAATTATTTTATTCGTTGGTCAATAATATAGACAGTATTCAATAATACATATTTGCATACACTGGACATGTAATAATATCATGTATTTGTAAACAATTGTAATGAATATTTGACTAAGACGGAATCAGTTGCCAGCAATGATATAAATAAAAATTTAATTTAATAGAGTTATTCAACGGTTATTGTCAACTATAAATTTGTATTGATAAAGAACCTATTAAATTTAATATTTATGCAAGGGCATCAAAAAAATTATTTATGGGAAAGTGAACACTAAGCATCGTTNTTTGTATTGATAAAGAACCTATTAAATTTAATATTTATGCAAGGGCATCAAAAAAAATTTTTATGGGAAAGTGAACACTAACATTGCTNGTCAACTATAAATTTGTATTGATAAAGAACCTATTAAATTTAATATTTATGCAAGGGCATCAAAAAAATTATTTATGGGAAAGTGAACACTAAGCATCGTTAAAAACTACCTTCTGCCTAGTTGCTTGTGCATAAATTATTATAAGAAATTTGGGAGTTAAATCCAAACCACAATTAACATTCACATAATTGGTCATGCGTATTTTGTACTCAAAGAATATACTGCTCCATGAACACAAATAAGCAACAACTATACACGTATTTGTGATGTGCAAGGAAGGATCGAGAAGCGGTCCAAGGCTCATAAGTTCCTTAAAATCCCGGTGACATATTAGGACATCATGGCCTGTCTTGGTCAAGTAAATATTTAATATAACGATGATATCTTATTATTATTGTTACATAATATCATTNAACACAAATAAGCAACAACTATACACGTATTTGTGATGTGCAAGGAAGGATCGAGAAGCGGTCCACGGCTCATAAGGTTCCTTAAAATTCCGGTGACATATTAGGACATCATGGCCTGTCTTGGTCAAGTAAATATTTAATATAACGATGATATCATATTATTATTGTTACATAATATCACTAATTAATAATAAAATATTAAATAAATAAAATAAAATAAAAATTATTAATTATTAACCGACATGAACAAGTAGTTGTGTAGAATCTATTGTTTTAATGCTCATGTTGCCCGCTGACACATTAGGACGTCATGGCCCCGTCTTGATCAATCAAAAGATAATCCATCATACCTCTTGATGGTAAGGGTAGGCGGTTAATCAAACTGAGTTATTTTAAATTTGACTTAAGAATGATTTTCAAGTTTAATTTATTTTTTAAATGAGTTTGAATTTGAACAAATTCTTAAACTCGTTTAGAAAATAAGACCTACAAGTTCGATNTATTGTTTTAATGCTCATGTTGCCCGCTGACACATTAGGACGTCATGGCCCCGTCTAGATCAATCAAAAGATAATCCATCATACCTCTTGATGGTAAGGGTAGGCGGTTAATCAAACTGAGTTACTTTGAATTTGACTTAAGAATGATTTTCAAGTTCAATTTGTTTTTTAAATGAGTTTGAATTTGAACAAGTTCTTAAACTCGTTTAAAAAATAAGACCTACAAGTTCGGTTCAAACTTGATAGACTCGACTTGTTTATGTGCAAATACTCGTGCTCGATTTGTTTTTGACTCGTTCAAGTTCGACTCGTTTAATAAACGAGTCGAATTTAAACAATTTTTTAGACTTAATTAACAAACAAACTTTTTAAGTCCGACTTGGGCTCGTTCAAGTAACAACCTAAGAGGTGGGTTAATCTAATCCTATCAAAACTTAAAATGATAAAATTTTACTCTTTAAAATAATAATAATAATAATAATGTGCTCCTGGTATCGCTCTAGCAATAAAAGCGTGGGGTACATTGTAATTCTCTCATGTTAGACTATGCTTACCCAATTTTTAATTTTTGTATCATAGTTTTTTTTTTTAATCCTCCATTATCCATTCCCTTCAATTCCCCTCAATACAGNGGGTGCATTGTAAGTCTCTCATGTTAGACTATGCTTACCCAATTTTTAATTTTTGTATCATAGTTTTTTTTTTAATCCTCCATTATCCATTCTCTTCAATTCTCCTCAATACGGTGCTAGATGAGTGACACGTGTAAAATTTTGAATTTCAATGGATAAGATTTTTTTCTTATGAGAAAATTCCTTAATAATGGTTGACACTCCACAAACAACAAAAATGAATGAAGAAACATCTTATCAATTGAAATTCAAAATCTTACACGTGTCACTCATCCAGCACTGTATTAAGGGAAATTGAAGGGACGAGATAATGGAGGGGATCTAAATTCATCGACATATAAGCTTGTGTATGTGCTAACACTAAAACGTGCATGAAGCACAATATAAAATAATGTTCAAGTGTTTAAAAAATTGATTTCATTATATCAAATAATAAATTCTTTATTTTCTTTTCTTTAATTACATGTGTCCACTATTGCATAGGAAATGTATTGAGCCATAAATTTATAAAAAATTAAATGATTCAACTTGTTATAGAAATGGCCGATGTGATAGAAATGAGCAAAATTGGATCAATTTTTATCATTATTGTGCTTTTATAAGTTGAGAGAATTCAACTTGTAAGCTATAATATTAAATAAATTTTTCCGATCAATAGCTAGATTTGGAGTATAATTAGAGTCATTTTCGAGATGTTTTTTGATAATAATTTTTATGCAGCATGTACTTTCAAAATGGTAATGTTTTAGGCATGGTTCAAAATCTGGTGTGACTAGGGGTGTTAATTGAGACGAGTTATTCGGGCTCAACTCGGATAGGACTCGGTTTGAGTTTGACTCGTGTTCTAAATGAGTTGAGCTTGAACAATTTTTTAGACTCATTTAAAAAAATAAGTCTAAAAGGCTTGATTCGACCTTGCAAAACTCGACTCGTTTATATGTAAAATAGTCAAGGTACTAGGCATTTGCTCGAACTCAAGTCATTTTCTAAACAAGCCAAACTTGAACAATTTTTTAGACTCATTTAAAAAATGAGCTCAACAGGCTCGAACTCAAGATCGTAAAATTATGATTGATTAACACCTATAGGTGCGACACATGACAATATTTCACTAGTAGGTTGTCGGAAACAATTTTCCTTTTTGGAGGCCAAAGGTTTTTAATGTTTGTCCTAGCTCCAATTTACAGTAAATCCAAATGTTACAATGAATTAGATCAGTAAATTATAACAAGAAATTACGTCTCAATCACTAATGCACAGTTTAAACATGGTGTGAGTTGCATGATTCAAATGGTTGAATATGAGGTGGAGTTTGAATTTGAGTTTCATTGACAGTATAAAATTTGAACCAATAGATAAAATTAAGTATTAATCTCAAATTACACCCCGAAAGATCTTCTGAATCTCAAATTGCACCCTCAAAGAAATAATTTCGTAGTATTTTACACCTAAGGCTAACAGCCATCCACTTTTTTGTCTAAACCAAAGTCACGTGAGTTAGAGGTGGGAGGGGCATGGGCTTAAGTGTAAAATCACAGCCCCATGTGATGAGCTTTTCCTGAGGAAAACCTCAGTCTCAACATACAAAATAAAGACGGGCAGTTGTTCACCTTGAAGATCGTAGAGGTGGAGATGTGCAGCTGTTCCCCTTGAAGATCTGCAAAATGTCTTGGATAGTTAGAGAATACAACAATGATTTATGCACTGGAGATACGCCAGATTATGGTAAGGGTTTTCTTTCTCTGTCTCTGTTTTTGTTATACTGACACTGTACATCATTGTTTTTTGTTTTTCTGTTTGTGTGACTTTGATTCTTGGTTTTTTTAATCTTTCTCAAATAGTTTTCCCATTTGTTTAGTCCAAATGGTTCTTGCCATTAGTTTAATCAAAAAAATACATATTGTATTTTGCCTTTTGACTTTTGACTTTTGCGTTGATTGTGATTTGAAAATGATTCTTGTTTTGTTTGTTTATCTGAGAGTGTTTTGGGAACTTGGGTGGACCTATTTTTATATTGGATGTGGGGTTATGGTTTTTCTTGGCTTTTTTCTCTTTGGAGGCTTTTTTTGTTTGCTTTATAAATTTTTTTATGCAGGTGATGATTCCGGNCTTGGGTGGACCTATTTTTATATTGGATGTGGGGTTATGGTTTTTCTTGGCTTTTTTCTCTTTGGAGGCTTTTTTTGTTTGCTTTTTAAATTTTTTTATGCAGGTGATGATTCCGGATATTTCACAATTAGAATGCATCACAATTGAAATTTTGATGGTTGTGGTGATAAAGTGTATATTGGTGGAAGAGTGAACAATATTGATATGTGTCACTTTGATCAAATTTCCCTTATAGAGTTGGATAACATGCTAAAGAATATTGGAGTTGGTTATAATCAAATTACCATATTCTATCAGAGAATAGGTAATGGATGGAGAGCTTTGGAAAATGATCAACATGCTATGGACTTGATAAAATGGGTTGACAAGGTTAAAGTGATTGATGTATATATGGAACATATTAGGCAAGAATTGTTCAATCATAGTCAAGCAGATTCAAATTGTGGTCCATCAGAAAAAAGATTTGGGAGCCAAAATATACATGTGTTTGAACAGGAAACCAATTTATGGGGTCCTAGGGTTCCCACTGAGAGTTATAGGTCCTCTGAAAGTGATGTTTTTGATAGTGATTCATATTCCAAGGGTTCAGATTCTGAGTTTGAAGATATGTATGATAGTNTATGGGGTCCTAGGGTTCCCACTGAGAGTTATAGGTCCTCTGAAAGTGATGCTTCTGATAGTGATTCATATTCCAAGGGTTCAGATTTTGAGTTTGAAGATTTGTATGATAGTGAATATGATGTATATGATGAATATTTGCATGAGACAATTGTTGAGAGTGACAAAGGTGAAAGGTTTGACAAACCAAAAAGGAAAGGGGTTCAGATTGAGATAGAGACAATACAAGAGCATGAATGTGGCGTAGGAGGTGAAGATTGTGAATCTGATGAGTTACGAAGTTTAAGTGGCTCATTATCCGATAATGATGAAACAAGGCATCAGAGGAAGAAGTATTCACAATTTAATGCTAAGAGTGACATGGTTGATCCACATTTTAAGCTTGGGATGTTGTTCAAAAATTCAGTTGAGTTTAGAGCGGCAGTGAGGCAACATGCAATTAAATGGGGGAAAAAATACGGTTTTCTAAGAATGAGAGGTATAGAATCAGAGCAATATGTAGGCCAGGGTGTGATTGGATGATTTATGCTTCAAGATTGGGTTTAGAAAAGACTATGCAGGTTAAAACATACAATGGTTCACATAGTTGCACTAGAACTTTTAAAGTTAAGCATGCTTCCTCTGACTAGGTTGCATATACATATTCTGATAGACTTAGATAAAATCCCACTTGGCCCATGAAGTCATTAAAGGAAACTATTGAGAAGGAACATGTTATCAAATTGGATAGATGTCTGGTATATAGAGGTAAAGAAAAAGTAATGACAATGGTGAATGGGACTGATAAGGAGCAGTTCAGCCTCTTATGGGATTATTGTGAAGAGTTAAGAAGAACAAACATTGGCACAACCTGCATTATTAAGACAAAGGCTCTGGGAGGTGACAAATTCATGTTCAAGAGGTTGTATATATGTTATGGGGCATTTTAAAAGGGGATTTCTTGAGGATTGTCAACCCATTTTTGGTTTAGATGGGTGTCATTTGAAGGGGTTACAAGCTGGTGTTATGTTGTCAGCAGTGGGAATCGATTCAAACAGCCAAATATATCCTTTTGCATTTGCTGTAGTAGAGAAAGAAAAGAAGAAATCCTGGTCATGGTTCCTTCAACTTCTAAAACAGGATCTTTGTATTGTTAACACCACAACTGGACTTTTATGTCAGATAAGCAAAAGGCAAATGCCTTTCTAATTATTGTTTATCACTTTTTTGCAAATGCCTTTCTAATTATTGTTTATCCTAGTCATATTTTTTGCACATATGTTAAACTACCAATTTTTTTTTACGAGGACTACTTGATTCAGTTGAGAGCCTTTTTCCTAATGTTGCACACAGGTTCTGTGTGAGGCATATGTACAACAATTTCAAATCTGAACATAAGGGTTTAGCATTGAAAGACTTATTATGGAGGGCTGCTAAAGCAACAACGGTGAAAAATTTTACCAGGATTATGGATGAACTGAAAGAAGTTGATGCAACTGCATACAATTGGTTGTCTGAGAGACCAGCAATTAATTGGTCTAGATCCCATTTTAGTTCCATTCCCCAGTGTGATATGTTGCTTAATAATTTATGTGAGAGTGTTAATGGTTGAATTGTTGAAGCTAGGGATAAACCTATAATCACAATGCTAGAAAAAATAAGATTGTGGTTAATGGAAAGGTTGCATCATCAAAGGGATTCCCTAAAGAATTATAAAGGATCTATTTGCCCTAATATTCAAGGTAGATTGGAGGCAATTAAAGTTGAATCTGCTGGTTTCATATCATATTGGAATGGGGGTGATCAATTTGAGTTAGGTGATCATATCAAAGGATTGTTGATGTGAAGAAGAGGACATGTAGTTGTAGGAAGTGGGATTTAACAAGAATCCCATGTAAGCTTGCAGTATCTGCTATTAGCTTTCTAGGATTTCAACCAGAAGATTATGTGGCTCAGTGATGCAAGGTGGAAACTTTTATCATGTGTTATAGCCATCTTATTAATCCTATAAATGGAAAAGAAATGTGGCATAGAACATGTAATTCACCTTTGCTTCCTCCAATTGTAAGCAGGAGACCGGGCAGGCCTAAGAAAGTTAGGAGGAGAGAGATTGATGAACAACCAAAAGGTTTCAAGTTGATGAGGAAGTATAAGCCTGTTGTGTGTTCAAATTGTGGTCAAAGTGGCCATAACAAAAGAAAGTGTAAAAAGCAANAGAGACCTGGCAGGCCTAAGACAGTTAGGAGGAGAGAGATTGATGAACAACCAAAAGGTTTCAAGTTGATGAGGAAGTATAAGCCTGTTGTGTGTTCAAATTGTGGTCAAAGTGGCCATAACAAAAGAAAGTGTAAAAAGCAAACAGTTACACCAATTACGCCAGCACCGGTTACGCCATCAATTGGTGTCAACACATCTGCATTCTCAATTGCAAGAGCAAAAGTGAAGTTGCCAGTAAGTGCAGCACTAATTTTCCTTTAAGTTTGTTAGAAATGTTGAATGTATAGTTGAACTAAGTTAATGTTTATTATTTCCAGGTTCGGAGGAAAAAAATTTCAACAACACCAGCTTCATCAGCATCAACATCTATACCAGTAACATCATTTGTGCTTGCAACATCATGTATACCAACACCAGCACCATCACACATGAAATGGAGGTCACCAGCTTCATCATCAACAACATGGAGGCCACCAACACCATCTTCATATGCAACACCAACTTCATCATCAACATCATGGAGGCCACCAACACAATGAAATAGAATATCGACATTTTTTTAAATGAATTTTTTTTGTGGATTTCTCTTTAAACAGTGTTTGGTTGTAAGTTTTTGGGATGATTTCTGACTAATTGTTGGAAATCTACTTTTGGACCATATTTATGTGGAATATTAGAATTTGGTGGATGAAATATACTTTTGGATCATATTTATGTAGATGTCTTTTCTTTCCTTTTACAAATTTATGTCTTTGTAGGTGTAAATTAATTTTTTTTAAATTTGAGGGTATAAGTTAATATTTTGGAAAAATTTCAATGACACCCCTCTAATTTACCATATATTTAAGGACACCCCCTCTAGTTTCTGAATCTTCAATGACATCCTTTCTAGTTTAATTTAAACATCACTAACACCCCTTACGATTAAACTATTATTTCTAACAAAATGAATTCATCTAAAATACTAAAAATGCCCTTACATAATCTCAAGCAATTTTTTTATATAAAATTTTATTAAAATTCGAGCTGTTAAAATTTTAAAAAAAATCATAAATAACAATTTTAGTAAATAATTTGTTAGTAAATACTAATTTTTATTTACTAATAAGTAAATTTAAAAAAAAAAATCGAGCCTATTAAAAAAAATTACATATTAAAATTTGAGCCGATTTGAACTCTATTCGAGTTGTTAGGGCCGATTAAAATTCTCTTTCGAGTCGATTATAATTTATATTTTTTTCTTATTAAAATCTGTGTCAATTAAAATTAGATTTATTAAATTTTAAGTCAATTAAAATTCATATATTTTTATATATTAAAATTTAGGCTGATTAAAATTCAATGCGAATTAATTAAAATTTTATTTGAGTTGATTAAAAATAATTTTTAATTGGCTCAAACAAAATTTTAATTAGCCCAAATTCTAATAAGTAAAAAAAATATAATTTTTAATTGGCACAAATTTTAATATGTAAAAAAATAAATTTTAATTAGCTTGAATCGAATTTTAGTCGATTTGAATTTAATTATATAAAAAAAATTAGAAAACAGAGGGGGTCTCATTGAAAATATACTTATCTAGAGGGGGTCTCATTGAAGATATGTTTATTTAGAGGGGTGTGGATGAAGTTTGTCCTCAAATATATCATGGGTAATTTAGTAAAATTGCATTCTACTTAATTCCAGACTTCGAGCAAAATTTGTTGAGTGTTGGTCAAATGGTGGAACATGGGTATGTAGTTCACTTTAAAGATGATACTTGCAAGATTTATGACAAATGAGGGAGCAAGCAAATGGTGGCAACAATCAAGATGGACAAAAATAGAAGCTTTTCACTCACTTTAAGGTATGCAAAAAATGCTGCTTTGAAGATGAATGTTGTGGATGAGACTTGGCTTTGGCTTAAGAGATTTGGTCACTTGAATTTTCAAAGTTTGAAGTATCTACAACAAAATGGCATGGTGCATGGGTTTCCAATGATTCAAGAAGTCAAAGAAGTTTGTGAAGGCTATACTCTTGGGAAACAACACTGGGAGGCATTTTCCAAAAAATAAGGCATGGAGAGTTAAAACAACATTGGAGTTTATTCATACCGATGTGTGCGGACCTAGGGACACAACAACTCATAGAGGTAACAAGTATTTCATTACTTTCATTGATGATTTTTCTAAAATGACATGGGTTTAATTTATGAGATAAAAATCGGATATGTTTAATGTTTTTCGAAAATTTCAAAATTTTGTTGAAAGGCAAAGTGGTCACCTATTAAAGTGTTAAGAAGTGATAGAGGTGGTGAGTATAACTCTAATGAATTTATGAAGTTTTGTAAAGATACTGGGATGGAAAGACAATTGACCGTTGGGTATACTCCATAACAAAATGAAGTGGCGGAGAGAAAAAAATAGAAAAATTGAAGAAATATCTAAATCAATGCTTCATGAAAATGGTTTGCCCAAAACCTTTTCGGGCGAGGCCGTTAACACGGCGATTTACTTGTTAAATAGATGTCCAACAAAATTCCTTTCAAACAAAACTTCATTTGAAAAATAGAGTAAAAGAAAGCCCTCGGTTAATCACTTGAAAGTGTTTGAGTATATTTGTTATGCACACGTTCCTAAAGAAAAGAGGCATAAACTTGATAAAGTTGGTGAAAAATGTATTTTTGTGGGCTATAGCACTAAATCAAAAGGTTATAGACTCTACAATTTGAAGAAAGATAAGTTGATTATTTCAAGAAATGTCATATTTGATGAAAAAGCCTTTTGGGATTGGAAAGAAAAGAATGTGCAAAATCATTTTTCTCCTACTTAAGAAAAGGTGGGGAGTGAAGAAAGTGATGATGAGGATCTTGATGTTCCAAATCAAATGTCTTCTATTGCTAGTCCACAATCAACTTCATCAAGCTCAAGTTCTTCGTTTCCAAGTTCAACTCCAAGAAAAATGAGAAGTCTTAGTGATGTGTATGCAAAATGCAACTTTTGTGCGATTGAACCAGAGAACTTTGAAAAAGCAATTAAACTAGAAGTTTGGAAGAAAGCAATGCAACAGGAGATTCGGGTGATTGAAAAGAACAAGACGTGGGAGTTGGTGGAGAGACCCAAAGAAAAAGAAGTGATTGGTGTAAAGTGGATTTACAAAACAAAGCTTAATCCGGATGGGTCAATTCAAAAGAACAAAGCAAGGCTTGTTGCAAAGAGGTATTCTCAACAAACGGGTATTGATTATCAAGAAACATTTGCACTGGTGGCTCGGCTTGACACAATTAGAGCACTTATTGCTTTGGCGGCTTAAAAGGGATGGTTCTTGTACCAACTTGATGTGAAGTCCGGATTCTTAAATGGAGATTTGGAGGAAGAGGTGTATGTGGATCAACCTCAAGGCTTTGTTGTCAAAGGAAAAGAAGATAAAAATTACAAGTTGAAGAAGGCATTATATGTATGGTATAGCAAGATCGATTCCTACTTCAACAATAAAGGCTTTCAAAGGAGCAAAAGCGAGCCAACCTTGTACACCAAAAAATAAGGTAACACCAGTATTCTTATTGTTTCTCTTTATGCTAATGATCTTGTTTTTACCGAAAATGATGAAAATGTTACCAAATTGTGAGCATAGATTTTGTCTTAAACATATGCACAACAATTTCAAAAAACAACATAAAGGAAAGTTGCTTAGAGATATGATGTGGAATTGTGCTAGTGCTACTAGGAAGGCAATGGATGCCCTAAAAAATGAGAGTGTTACTACTTTTGATTGGCTAGCCACATCTGTACACCCACAGCACTAGGCTAGATCACATTTCTCTATTGTTTCTAAGTGTGATCACTTACTGAATAACGATGATGAATCATTTAATGCATTCATTCTAGAAGCAAGAGATAAGCTTATCATTTCCATGTTAGAAACTATTAGGAAACTCTTGATGGATAGGATAGTGATGATGAGAGAAATTATGCTTAGGTTGTTTGGACCTAATTGTCTTGGTGTTAGACAAAGGTTAGAGAAAGTGATTGCAGAGTCTATGACATGTAGTCCCAGGTTCAATGGTGTGTCAAGTTTCCAAGTGTCATGTTCTGATGGGTCACAATTTACATTGAATGTGAGGGATAGAAGTTGCACTTGCAGGAAATGGGATTTAACTAGGATTCCATGTGCTCATGGTGTGTCTTTCATTCACTACAATGGTGGTGATCCACACATGTATATGCATGATTATTTCAAGAGAGACAAATATTTATAAACCTACAGTCATGTGTTCCAGACTCAATCAACTAAGAGCTCAATTCAATCCTCCAAGACCAGACTCAATCTCAGTCACTGTCACAGCTCAACCATAACCACCAAGGCTAACAACTAAGAGCTCAGTCTCAGCCACTGCCACATCTCAACTGCAACCATCAAGGCCAACAACTAGAAGCTCAGTCTCACCTACCACCAAATCTCTATCACAACCATCAAGGCCAACAACTAGGAGCTCAGCCCCAACCACTGTCACATCAAATTCACAACCAACAAGTTCTACCTTTTCTTAGTCACACTCAGCAGCTCATGGTCATTTTTTTGTAAGACCAGGAAAATCAAAGTTAGTATCATCACTACAACAACAATTTGAGGCAATGAAAAACAAGAAAACTTCGTTTCATAGGGGTAGCATTTGGAGGTCTTTTGTATAGGATTATGTCAGTGCAGTTTGTCATCACAGTGATATTTTGTATGGGATTATACCAGGGCATTTTGTAATCACAGTGATATTTTGTATAAGATTATAACAGGACATTTTGTTATCACAGTGATGTTTTGTATAGGATTATGCTTATGCTTTTTGTTATGCCAGTGCATTGTGAACACATCCCTGTAATGATGTTTCATTTCTAAGTAATTATACTGACTATTCTTATATGGGCTTGCAGTGCCTCAGATTCCACTGAAATAATCAAAAACTAAAACAAGTTGCATTACCAAAAGAATTACACAACATGATTACAATAAAAACCATTAGTACAAGAGTCATTAGTACAATACAATTTACACTTTGTTGAACAATTATCATTACTACTTTGGTGCCCAAATTAGTGTAATTTATCACCCAATACCCAGTGCATTTTGAGTAGATGGACTCTTTACAACATTTTCATGATTGCTGCTCTACATAAGCCACAGCAACAACCATGAAATTATCAGCACTATCCACAAACAAATCTCTCGTCATCTCCTTCTCCTCAATTGGTTCTCTATTGTTGAAATGCGGTTTATCAATCCTAGAATTATCTGGCGCGCATGAAGGCACATAGGCGGATCGCACCAAACAAAGAAACCACATCTCCCAGTCTAAATGAAATTTGCATTATAAGAGAAACACTTTAAAAATTTTGTGATAAAGCAAAATAAGAAACAATTTCTTATTTGCCACAGGTAAGAGAAACAAGATAAGAGAAACACTTTCATTTAAAAACACAAAAGAAAGTTACCGTGGATTTGCCACAGGTATAAAACCTCCTTCCTGGATTTGGATTCTTCCATGAGGTCTTCAACACTGCCATAGTGCCACAGTTACAAGACACATCCATGGCTTCTATCACTGCTAAATCCAATGCTTCTACAGTGCCCTTGTTGCACAGCCCACTTTCTCCTTCTATCGTCTGCCAATCATGCCATACAAAGAAAATGCAAATTTATATTGCAACAACAGAGCAACAGGAGGAGGGAAAAGGGAAGAAGTTTGGCGCCAAAAACCACATCCATTGAGTATAATATCCATTAAGCCCTTAGTTCCTGACACTTTCCATGTTGTCGTTAGTTTTAACGTCTGAAATAGACAAAATTAGTTTTGGTATAGATGTAAAAGTATAAGGGCTAAATTAGTACAATTGAATGTTCAGGGGCCAATTTAAATGGACACAAAAGTTTGAGGGGCATTTATGTTGTTTACCCTATAATTAAGCTTAGAATAGGAAGAATATCATACACCTTTGGTTATCCCAAGTTAGAGCATTGAATGCTTATATGTATGTTGTGGGGAAGATGTTGGTTTGGGAATCAGTTGTTCTTACTTTATTGTGTTAGCAAAAAAAAAAAAAAAAAGAGTTCACATTAGCAAAGAGCAATCAAAAGAAAAATAAATGAAAAGAAAAAATGCAGCGTGCTTCTAGTAGCAAAAGGGTGAGAGGTTGTAAAATTATATTGAGAATGGTTGTGTAATGTAATGCTTTATTTTGGGTTAACATTTTGAATTCTTGAATACCTTTCATTTCATCAAACCTTAACGTCAATGTCCCATTACAACCTAGTAAAGTCATTTTTGATCCCAATAGTGTATTGGTGATGCATGACTTGTGTCGGTAAGGATAGAGATAGAGGAGGTTTGCATGCCAAAATTCTTTGGTTGGGCAAAGTGCAAGACACAATAAATAATATTGTCATATTTAAAAAAGAAAAAATAATAATTTGAATCTCACGCCTTAAAAAGTATAAACCTAAACTAATTTACAAATTAGGTACCAACTTTTTAGTTTTCAACAATTATTAATTTAATTAATTTTAATTATTAGATTAAAAATAAATTTTATTTAGAGTAATATTACATGGACTTAAAATAAATTATCAAGTCTAATTTATAAATTCATGTAGCATTACTCTTTTATTTAACATTAAAACTCACAATTAAATACAAAAATTATAATGAATTAAGCCGTTAATTATATCCAACTACTTAGATGGTCCTTTAAATCAAGTGTCGTTTCGTTTCGTACGGGCTAATTAGATTGTAGTTTACTCTCCATTTTTCTACCCAACTTCTAGAAGGATCCATGATTCCACCTCGCTTTTTTTGGGCAACTTCCTTGATTCCTCTTAAAGCAGCTTCAAGGAAGATGGTCCCTCAAGTACGATAATTTCCTTGCCTGTGATCCTTGATTCCTTGTATTTTCCGAATGCTTTCCTTTAAAACAAAGGACAAGACCTAATAAATTTTTTGATATCAAACTTAAAAATTATAAACGTAACTGCCACTGCAGTTTATTTGTAAATTTTAATTTTGAAAATACTAATGTAAAATAAATGGATAAATTTAATAAAAAAAACCTTGCATATATTAAAATAATTATACATCAAATGTGAGTCTGTGTGTGGATTTGTGAGTCCCACTATTATTTAATGGTTAACAATCTTTCAGTGTACAAATTTAATACAAATAACATTACCTTTATCCAAAATAAATTTTAGATTCTTTTTCGATAAATAAAGTCTCACGGCACGTTCATGTGTTGCCACGTACCCATTTGGTTACACGCTTAATCAACACTATACAACCTGTCATAGTAGACGCGTTCCCTTCATGCCAAAGATAATACTTTATGACACGTAATTTCTTAACAATTTCTCTTTATCTAGATTGTGGGTGCATAGTTTTATTTTTTGACCAATGAATAAGCGCCACATATCCACTAGTTCTATGATATACTATTTTAATTAATAATTATAAATTATTCAATTTAAAATCAACTGTCAGACAAAGGGAGCGTAGCCTTGCCCCTCCCTATATATATGCCATAACCTGAGAGTTTAACTTCATCACTAATCATTTGCATTGCCTCCGCACAAGTTTACCTCTTCAACCATGAAAGCCACCACCTTGATCTGTTGCCCTACACTTCCTGCCACGCCCTTGTCAGCCCAACCTCGTCGCCGGAGAAGACAGCTTGGTCGCTTGAGCACTGTTGTTAATGCTAGAAGGGATGCGAATGGCCGAGATTATGACGGGAGACTCGTGGATGAGAACATGATAGTCCTGAGAATGCGCATCAAGGAGATGACAATGATGGAGACCAGCCATGTACCGCCATCGGATTGGATGAAGTGGGAGAAGCAATACTATGAACATTACGATGAAGATGTATGTGAAGCTGTAGGACTGTTGCAGTTCTATTTGATGAATACTAGGCCATCTTTGGCGTTGGGTATGGCGGCTCTCGTTGCGTTGAGTGTGCCCTTTTCAACTTTTGTGGTGATGCTCAATGCCGTAGAGATAGCTAAGGGAGTTTTTTCTATGTTTCATTTTGCTTGAGCCTTGATCTGATGTAGTTTATGCATTAACGAAGGAATCCAAAGCAGTGGAATTCAGTCACAACCGAATGAAAATATAATAACAACTTGAATCAAATACTTCAAGTTCCCAAACTCTCGGCTATGAAGGGCAGATTTTAAAAATTGGCCTCCCGGGCTAGTTGAGGGAAAAGAAACTCGCAATCTTATTCAGCCATTATGGTAATAGAGTAATTTTACTCTGGGGAACCCATTTGGCTTTGCTTGTGCCGACCGGCGGAAGTGCCGACTGGCAGGCACAAGTCACCAGCCTCTCTTTAGTTCTACCAAGCCAAAGAGGATGCCTTTCACTTCGCTAGTGCCGACAGGCAAGAGCAAGCCACCAAGGCATTGGGTCCCGCCGAGGCAGCTATCAAAGCATTGTAGTCCGGCAATAATGCCCAACGGGCTTGCCAAGAGACACAGCGAGGGCTTCTTCTGCTTACCCGCTTCCATTGGTCGGGTCCTACTCAGCTAAGATTGATCTGAAACTTAGAGTACCTGCAAAACACTACTCCGGTTGTCTTGGAATAGGTTATAAGGAGTTAGGACCAGAGTCCTAATCAAACTCTACACCCTACTTATAAGACCGGGTGACTAGTTAAATCAATCAACCATGAGTTCAGGTTCTTTTGAGATATGTCTCTATACTACTATAAATAAAGGCTCGGGTACCATTTAATTCAAGGAAATCTAGGCCTATTCATTCTATGCCTTTTTTTGACTCGCTATCTAATTTAAGCATTGAAGTCTATTTGGTTGCCTTCGATCATCGGTTCACCTAAACATTTTCTTGTCTTGTAGGTTACCCAAGGATTTCTCGCCACCCTCTTCGTCCATACAAGGTGCAGACTCATAATACAAAATTATCTTTGGACAATTGGCGTTGTCTGTGAAAAAATGACTAAATTTTTCACCAACTAAAAAACTTGAATCATGTCCGGCGAGAGAACCCTTGATCCTAGAACTAGCCAAACACTACTTCCTCTACCCTCAATTAGGGGCAACCCAAGATTATTTAAGGTCTAAAGCAATAATTAAAAATGAGGCTTTTATTTTTGATATTAATAATTTTTTATTTAAAATTTATTTAGTTTTTAGATTAAAAGTACTATTATTTTTTCCTTAAAAGTATTTTGAAGATGCAAGTGGATGTCTTGTATGCCTCCACTAAGCCCCAATTACCCTACCCCCTCCTAGTTCCCCTAAACCACATTTCCACATGTAGACTTTCATCAGTTAACCAATTCAAACTCTACATTTTAACAAACTCCTAATTCAACCTTAATTTAGATAATCGAAGTTTGTAGTTTACATCCCCGTATTTTCCAAAAATTCTTAATTTTGTCTCATTACTAACTTCAATTCTTCATTTAAATACCCATTCTTATATAAAATATTATGTATGCATGATCGGATCTGATACTAGTATTCGACACGGACTCATAAATAACATGACACAATTGTCGCCTCTACTTTATACCATCATTGCAAGGACTAGTTACATGAATAGGTACGGTATAATGACAAATTAGGAAGACAAGCATGGATACGAAATGAGAATATGATTGTAAAACTAGAATATCTCTTCAAATTATGGAAACTAATAGAAAAATAGTGTTTGAATCTAATTTGGAGATTTTAATCAATTATAATTATTAGATTAAAAATAAAATCTATTTAACATTGAAATTCACAACTAAATTCAGCAACTACAATAAATTAGATCGCTAATTATGTCCAACTACTTTGATCGTTTTATTTCGTTTGGCTCGAGCTAATTAGATCATAGTTTACTTTCAATTTTACTTTTCAATTGTATTTTTTATCTTGTGAAAGTTATGTTTTCTTGAGATCAAGGGTTCAAGCCCCTTTCTCCTTTCTCTCCCCTCTAAACAAAAAGACTTTTAAAATATATATATATTTTTTCCTTGCTTTTTTTGTGCAATTTCATTAATTCCTCTTAAAGCAACTTCAAAGAAGATGGTCCCTTAAGTATCATAATTTCCTTGCAAGTAATCATTGATTTGTTCTATTTTTTGAAAAGTAATATTATTTAAACTTAAAAAATTAACACGATTTATTGATATAACGATGTAATTTCATTAAAATTATTAAATTAATACTAAGTTCTAATGTTTAATACATTTCACAATCAATTCAAAGGTCATAATAAATTAAATATAAATAACATTACTTTTTTTAGAGTTCTTTCTCTTAAAATAAAGGACAAGACCTAAGAAAAAAGTTTGATATCAAACTTGAAAAATTTACACCTAACTTTTACTTTGGTTTATTTGTAATTATTAATCTTGAAAATACTAATGTAAAATAAAGAATAAATTTAAAAAAAAAAAACTTTGCACACATTGAAAAGTAAGACACGCACCTTAAAATAAACAATAAGGTTATTTTTATCCAAATGAACAAATTTGCGAAAATTAGTGCACACTAACAATCATTTAGTATCTAAATTCGATGCACGTAACATTATTTTATCCAAAATAAATACTAAATTCTTTGTCTAAAAATAAAGCCACACGGCACTTTGATGTGTTGGCACGTGTCCAATTGGTTACACGTATAATCAACATTTTACAACATAAATAAAAGACACGGTTCAGCCGCCACGTCCCTTCATGCCTAAGATAATGCTTTATCACACGCAATTTCTTAACAATTTTTCTCTCTCTAAGGTGTGGGTGCATGTTACCGTACTGAACCGACCTTTTTAATTTTCGTAGTTTTATTTTTTGACCAATGAATATACGCCACATATCCACTTGTTATATCTTATAATTTTATTATTATATTATTTTTAATTAATTATTATAAATTATTTAATTTAAAATCAACTGTCTGACAGAGGTAGCGTAGCCTTGCCCCTCCCTATATATATGCCATAACCTCAGAGTTTAACTTCATCACTAATCATTTGCATTGCCTCCGCACAAAGTTTACCTCTTCAACCATGAAAGCAATCACCTTGATCTATTGCCCTACACTTCCTGCCACGCCCTTTTCAACCCAACCTCGTCGCCGGAGAAGACAACTTGGTCTCGTGAGCACCGTTGTTAATGCGAGAAGGGAAGCGAATGGCCGAGATTACGACGGGAGACTCGTGGACGAGAACATGATAGTACTGAGAATGCGCATCAAGGAGATAACAATGATGGAGACGAGCCACGTACCGCCTTCGGATTGGATGAAGTGGGAGAAGCAATACTATGAACATTACGATGAAGATGTCTGTGAAGCTGTAGGACTGTTGCAGTTCTATTTGATGAATACTAGGCCATCTTTGGCGTTGGGTATGGCGGCTCTCGTGGCTTTGAGTGTGCCCTTTTCAACTTTTGTGGTGATGCTCAATGCCGTAGAGATAGCTAAGGGGCTGTTTTCTTTGTTTCACTTTGCTTAAGCCTTGATCTCATATAGTTTGTGGAATTCAATCACAAACCCGAACTTGTATTATTGGATCAATTACTAAACAGCTTAAAATTTTGAACCAAATGTAAATACAATAACAACTTGAATCAAATACTTCAACTTCTTCAAGTTCCCAAACTCTCGGCTATGAATGACAGACTTTAAAAATTGCCCTCCCGGGCTATTTGAGAAAAAAGAGCTCAGAAACTCACAATCTTATTCAGCTGTTATGGTAATTAGAGTAATGCTACACTAAATAAAAAAATTCAAGACTGAAAATACAGTTTAAATGCTTTTTTTAGGGGAAGGGCATAGAAAATAAGAAAAGAAATAAGGTTAGAATCCGCAATCACCTATTAACGAAAATAAGTTTTTACTATTGATGGATTCTCTCACCTCTCTCAAAACAAATTTTAAAAATTAAATATATAAAAATAAAATAAAAAATATCATTATTACCATATCATAATATTTAATCCTTATTTTAAATTTTTTTAATCGGTGCGGCATTACTCAGTCAAAAAATTCAAGTTTTCCACGGAAGCAAGAAATGTGCACCCCCTGAATAGTATGTTGAATAGGAGGAGGAAGGAGGATAACGTGGAATAGCATAGTATTGCGGCGCAGATATCGTTGAGAGGCTTCTGGTCCTGGGTGGTGTCAGTATGACTTTAAAAAACAACAAAGTAAGGTAAATTACAATAACACCCCTTAAAAAAAATAATTACCGAGATACCTCCCATGATTGTTTATTATCAATATCACCCCTTTGTTGTCTATGTGTCCATTTCACATATTATTTTTACTATCTGGGATGTTACTGACAAGTCCAAAAATTAATAATGTCACCGCATATTTTACATTAAATTACAATGTTACCCTTCAATTTTAAAAGTGCAAAGTATTGCTCATACACCCAAACATATCTCTTCTTTTTGTTCTAAACAAACTAATCCGAAAACCAAACAATCCCCATGTCTTCCACTGTCCTCTTCTTCATATCTCACTCACTAATTCGCTCTCACAAACATGCCATACACATGGCTACATGCATCATCAATTGAACAGTAATTTGATGAGATGATATGTTAATTCATCAATCGAATGTTAATTTGTTAAAATTGAATGTTAATTTAGTGCTTATAGAAAAAAATTTATTAATTTAATGTTAATTGATGAAATTAAATATTAATTTGTTGTTAAATTTATGAAGTTTGTGTTAATTTGATAAAGTGAATGTTAAATTAAAGAAATTGAATGTTAATTTGGTAAAATTTAATTTTGAATTCATGAAATTGAATGTTAATTTAGTGTGAATGTGAAGAAATTAAATTATAAATTGATAAAATTGAATGTTAATTTGACATTTATTCGATGAAAATTGAAAATTAATTGAATAAAATTGAATGTTTTTTTGATGTGAATAAATTTTTGATATATAAAATTAAATGTTGATTTGATTAAGTTGAAAATAGATAATTGAGAATGGATGAAATTGCTGAAGTTGAAAGTCAATTTACAATATATATGCATAATTGAAAATGGATAAATAACCAAAAAACATGTATATGCTAGGGGCAAATTAATAAACGTATATTTTTCATGAGCAATGTTACATGGACTTAAAAAGTAGACTTAAAAATTGGACTTGATAATCTCAACCATTAATTTCATTGTGGGTTCCATCATTTATTGGGACTCACTACCTATTCAATGGTTGAGATTATCAAGTTTAATTTTTATGTCTGGACTTTAAGTCCATCTAGTATTACTCATTTTCCACTAGACCCATTTCCAACAAGATTTAATGGGGGTGGCAATTATATTTGGGAAACCATAAGAGGAGTCCCTTTAATTAGACCATTTTATAGGGACTGTTATTGAAATTTACCCAAAAAGAATTATTTGAACTTATAACTTATCATTTCTTCTTCCTCCGGGCTAGAAGAATTGGGTGAGTATCAACCCCGGATTCTTTCTCCGACTACAAGGAAAAAAAAAAAAAGCCTTGTTTTCTTCTTAATTTGGTGTAACATTCTAAGCAGCAACTTTCCCCTAGGCTCGATTCGATTTCATCCTATATTTTTTATCATATGTCTTATCTTATCACTTGAAATGACATTTTATGAAATTTGTAATGAATATAAAGATTATTTTAGAGTGATTCAATATCAATAGGAAACCTGCTAATAAGGATGTTGTTCCTTGAAAAGCCTTTTTGCTACAAATCTGTTATTTATTTATTTATTTTTTTTTTTTTTTTGGGGGGGGGGAGGGGGGGAGATACAAGAATCCATATTGGTTTAAGAATTCACCCAATTGGGACATCCATTAAAAACTTAAAACCATTGTCAATGAAAAAGAAGGTGATAGAAAGGGGCTTCGAAAGAACTCTTAAGAAGGACGCAGCGAGTGAGCCTATTAAGTTGTTATTGAGCCCAAGTCTTTCCAAAATGGGGGTCACTTTATTGATAACATATAACGCGAGTGGATGAGCATTTATCATGCCTACAACCCTACAAGTGTCGGGTGATTTGTACTCACTTGTGTCTCGAATGGAAGACTACATGGCCTTATTATCGTTCATACCAGTGCTAAATTTGTGGAGCACTGCTCAGCCACCATCGGTACTCTGGTTAGAATAATTCATTACTTAGAAAAAATTAAAAAGCTTTGCGACTGAAACAAAGAGATCTCTTGATCAAGCAAAAAGAATTTCACACACCACAAATTAAAGAGAAACAAGAGTTCATTTAAACAAAGAATGAAAGAACAGGATCAGGTACAGAAATCTACCAGTCTATTCTTAATTATAACATCTACATACAAATTGATGCTAAATCCTCATCAACTAAGATGAAATCCTGGCAAAACCCCATGAGCTGCCTCGATCAAACGCGCCACGATCACAAGTGCCGATGTTGGGACACTAATGGTGATGATCACCAGCATCCCAAGAGCCATACTAGGCCTTGTATTCATCAACTGTGTTTGTAGAAACCCAACAAATTTACAAACAAATTCATCATAGCACACATAATATTGCTTCTCCAACTCCATCCATTCTGCAGGAGGCTCGTAGTTACGCTCCATCACCTTCATCTCATGAATGCGCTTCCTCAGCACGATCATGCTTTCATCGACGAGCAGTCCTCTGTAATCCCAACCATTGGACCCTCTTCCACAGGCAACAAATTGGCCACTGGATCTCTTTAATCTACGAAATCGCATTTTCGGGTGTTGCAGGGAGCTGGGAGAAAAGGATAGTGGTGGAAGAATTGAAGAACAAAGGGATGATGATGCTGTATTCATTGCTAAAGTGGCTGATCAAATGTGAAGATGGAAATGGAGGCACATTAGCTTCTGTATCTATTTATATAGACTAATGAGGCTGAAGATCCAAGCTTCGGCGAAACTGCAATGAAAGGATGACACATGGCACTTCTACGCTTCCCGAAGGAGGGTTAATATAGTTTAATACTTTAATCAATCAATGATGCCACTTGGCGGTTAGTGATTACCGTTATTATTGCGTTGGGAAGTTGGCTTGCTATAATGGTCGGCGCTTATTATATGTTTAGCTTCTATAATGGCATTAAATAATAGGTTGGACTTATAATAAGTTGGATTCTTTCTGATTCAAAGTACTTCTTAGTTGGAGTACTTCTTCATTTGATTCCTTTGAATCCGCAATTGCTTAATTAATATTGGGCTAGACACAACCAATACAAAAACAATATAATACAACGGATTTAAATTTAGTCTTAAAGGATTCAAATGACAAACGGGTAAATTATTAAACTGGTAAAATAATTTTATTTGTACATGAGATGAATTCGATACAACACACGAAGTCAGCCATACATCATTAGTGATTAATAGAGCATTACATAGTGAAATGAATGTCATCGTGCCTGGGTGGCATTGTATAAACATATTGGATGCACCCAACATAGTTATGCTGCAAGCCCTGATGCAACCAGAAGAAAGAAAAGCGAGTGTCTTAAAGCAGCTGGACATAGAAGCAGGCTTTTCAAGATCACAAGTAAAAAATTTCTGCATTGCTTACGTTAACCCAACTAACCAGTAAACAGCAGTTTGATTATTATACTATGCTCTTGAGGAATTATATGTAATACCCTAAACTCAAGTATTTTCTACATAAATCTCTACTACCAACTTTATGGTGATCAACAACGGAATGCGATTCTCTCCAATAATTTTTTTCTCCATTTTCCTACTTAGTAGATCACTTACCCTGCCCATTGTAGGTCATTTCTTACTTGGTAGATCATTTTTCTCCATATTGGTCTCCCATTCGTTTAATAGGGGCTGATCTGTCAAGAAGAAAAATATAAGAAAAAAGTATTGGAATGGATTTGAATTCATCACTAACTTGAACTCACCGGATATCTTTGCTTAATGAGAGACCTTGGGGCTGAAAACAACAGATTTGGTGATGCATGAACTGCGCAAGTATATCGTAATCCACATCATTTTGCTAAGATTGGGAGGTTCTATCCTTTACCCGCGGTGGATATATTAAATGAGTGCATAAAAAGGGTACAAGACGAGGAAAAATACCAGACAAACCAAGTCATATAAAATTAGCCGAAAGAAATTATGATAACATAGTTACATGCTATACATTTTTTAAGTATACAAATTGTAATATACAAAGCTGAGACACAAACTTTAATCTCAAGGAACCTTGAGTGATCATGAATCCATCCTAGAAGACTGTGTTTATTAATTCTCAGTCATCATAGGAAGCATGAGAAGTAGCAGTGCATCCAGGGTCAAAGGGATCTTCAGAACCGCAGCAGTGCCAGTATTGAAAGACTTTACCAGAGTCGGGGGTGTTCAAGGTGCCACCAATGTACACACTCTCAAACTTCCTCTTCGTTTCTCCTGAGTAAAGACATGGAAAATGATGTGCAATTGTCAAGGGGCAATTTAATCTGGCCGATTCAGACCATGCAATGCGTATAAAATAATTGAAACATCACAGCATGACAATGTTGTTGGACTAAATAAATAGAAAACAGATTTCAAAATTAGCAATTACTTCATACAACAAATGTATATATCTTAAGCAAAGACAACATGCAGGAGTGTGAGAAAGAGGGTGGCATGCACAACACGCAGGAGAGTCAGAAAGATGTTTTTTATCCTATGTGAGTTTTGTGTGTACAACATACTACATACTACATAACCACACATTTTTTGCGTCTTGTACAAAAAAAGGAGCCCTCTCTCCACTCTGTTCAGATTCTCCAGGCCTCATGACAATGACTACCTTAAATTCAAAAGGAATATCACCACATGGTTTGCTTTTATGTAACCGATCATTCTATCATTCATTGTATGAAGTTTTTATATCGTAGTCTATGGTTGTCACTCAAAGCCAGTCAGTGACCAACTCCAATTAACAAGTTCAGTAGGATATTTTCCCGACAGAGAAATGCACCTTTGGAGTTTACAACTGAGCAAGTTAAAACCTCAAAAATGTACAAACCTTCACATTAACCTTCCCATGACCAATTCCAATTAACAAGTTCACTAGCACACTTTCCCCACAGAGTAATGCACATTTTAAGTTTAAAATTTAGCAAGTTAATAGCATAAGACAGTATATAAATCAAACATAAACCTTCACATCAACTTTCCCATGACCAATTAAGCTTTGAATCTCAGTCTAGACATAACTAACATATGTAGAGAGCATCACATAGTCAAACAATATATACGCACTCAGTAATTAAACACATTATAGCACTGGAAACTAGATGGGTGAACCAAATGGGTACCTCCAAAATGAGCAGTGTGGTAACGACAAGCCCTGGGGTGATTGAGCACAGGATCGAATTGGGTCTTGCAATTCTTGCAAGTTCTTAGGGTTTGGGTTGGTTTTTCTGAGCATCGAATTGGGAATTTCATAGCGCTTGGGTTTTTAAATTCAAGACTTGCCGTTCGTCCAAAGAAGAGATGAATTGGAACGATTTTGTTTTGATTTCTTCGTTGACTGAGCGAAGCGTACGTTATCGGCAAAGATGAAGTTGAACAAATTTGAGCCGTCATTATACTGTGAAAAGGGCTAGGGTTTCTCCGTATTGGGAAGGAATAGTAAGTGGGTGAGAGTTTCGGTGACAGAGAAGCTGGTGGAGTGAGAATCAAGCATAATCGGATGAATTACACTTTACACCCTGAAAATTTTAAGATTCTTATTTTACACTCTTAAAAATTAAATTTTTTATACTAACCTTCAATATATCAAAAATATTATAATATGACCCTTCTGTTAGTTTTTTTTTTTTTAACAAAAAAAAATAGCGAAAACTAATAAAATGATTATATTACAATATTTTTGATACATTGAGAGTGTAATATAAAAAATTTAATCTTTATAAGTATAAAATGAGAAATTTAAAATCTTTTGGAGTGTAAAATATAAAAATCCCGGATTGCGCAGGTAAGTTCATCTTTTTTTTTTTTTTGTAAAAATTAGAACTAGAGAAAACAATAAGAGGAATTCTTCGAATTGTAATCTTGTTTATTATTCAGTTCAAAAAAAATCTATTTTATTATTACTAGTATCTCATTCCATATGATTAACGAAATTTATAATATCTAGCTACAATGGCCTTAGTCCACCCCTGCTGGTAACCTTATACCCATCCTCACCCCTTGTGCTAGAATATTTTTAAAAAATTAAATGTTAAATAATTAAAAAAGATGACAACAAATCTATATAATAAAGTAGAACAAATTTGAATTTTGGAGACAAAGAGCGGTTGAGATCGTTTCGTGAGTAAAACTGACATCATCTAACGATCGACGTTATCCCAAACTATCTCGAGCTATTGATGTCTCACATCATTTCGATTCGACGTACCATATTAGCTCTTGAAAATTTTTGCCACTCAAAACTTTTAGTTTTCAAAACTAGCATCCCTAAATTTAATTCTTCAACCCAATTAAATCCGACAATTAAGCGAACTCTCATTCCTCAACTCTGTCTCTCTCTCTCTCTAAAGTACAGATTACAACTCTTATCATTATTTCCCTGATTTTATTTCCTATGTTAAAGGATCACTTTATATACTTAGACATTGACTGTCCCTCACACTCTCATCTTTCATGATTCTCTTTCCAAACTAAGACACATATCTCTCCAAAATTCTATCATAATGAAGCTGCTCTCAATTTTTACTGTTCATATCACATACACATCTTTACTATACATATATATAGTATAAAGATCGAAAACATACTATATATATATGTTATATCTTAAAAAAAGTTTCATCTAAACACTATATAGTTGAGTCTAAATTCAATGACAACCCCTATAATAATAACTTTTGTCTTTGTTAGCAAACTAAAACTATTTATTATGTAAATAAACTAAAATGTCATCAGTTGTTTTCCCATTGTATATGTGTTAGTCAGCCAACAAATGTAATTTCAATCATTATATTATCTTAATAAATTTTTTATTTTAAAACGTCGTATTATAACTTTGTTATAATATTAGTTATCATATTATCACTCATTTGGTTACATAATCAAGTTTTTATGATTTTTATTTTTTTATCATAATAATTTTTCTAGTTAAAAATAATTTTTCTGTAATAAAAATTACAATTGATAAAATCAATGTCAAAATCTCATCCATTTCTAATTCCTTAGGTATCATATGTCTTCCACAATGTCGCCCGACCGCTCCTCACACATCATACTTCATATATAAAATTTAAAATTATTTGATAAAAGTTAATATTAATTGAATAAATTTGATCTTAATTGTGATAAATTTAAATATTAATTTAGTTTTAATTTGATAAAAATAAATATTAATTTAGTATTAATTTGTTTGAATTTAATGTTAAATGAATAAATTTGAATGTTGTTTTAATAAAACTAAATGTTCATTTGGGGTTAAATTAAAGAAATGACATTAATTTGATAAGGTCAAATTTTAAATTAATAGAATTTAATATTCTATTTAATAAATTAAATAGTTTAATTTAATAAAATTGAATTTCAATTTGATGTTGATTTGATAAAAATAAATAATAACTTAATATTAAATTAAAAAAATAATATTAATTTGATGAAATGAAATATTAAATTAATATAACTAATGCTAATTTGATAAAGTTTAGTGTCAATTTTGTGTTGATTTGATGAGATGAAATGTTAATTTAGTTTAAATTAAATAAAAAAAATTAATTTGATAAAATTGAATATTAAATTTATCAAAATAAAGGCTAATATAATATAACTAAAATGGAGTGTATTGAAATTTCAAAATCAATAAGGGATGTTGTTAAAATTAGGTCTATTTATAAGGGGTGTTGTTAAAGTTAGGTTTATTTATAAGAGGTGTGGATGAAATAACTTTATTTATAAGAGGTGTGGATAAAATTTACCTTATAAAATACTCGGAGATATTTCTATAAATCAACCATCGACATTAACGATGTAACTTGACAATTACTAATAGGGAGTGACAGTAAAATTTAAAAAACGGAAGGAAGTGTCATTAAATTTAGACATAACTTCAGGGGATCTGAATGAAATTTTCTCTTATATCTATACAAATCTATATAATAAAACACACAAGAAGTTAAATTTTATCTCATATACATTTTTCACCCCCCAAAACTGCCACATCATTTATTTATATTACATGTTTAACTATTTAATATTTGATTAATTTATAATTTAACATAATTTTTATTTCAAATATTATCTATACACGATAATATAAATCTGTTAAAAAAATTTATCGAAATACATATTTTGAGAAAATTTTGTCAATATCTTTAAGAAAATAAGGGCAAAAATAAATTTTAAATGATTTAATCAAACAAATGAAAGAAATAAAATATTATTTAATATAGTGATATAGATTTTTTAGAACTCAAGTTTTTTGTTCTATCGTGTCATCGGATTATGACAAGTTTAATTATAAAGTACTTTGAAAAGAGATGTTTTTCGAAAAAAAAAAAAGATGAAATGGAGTCTTCGGGTATTTATATGGAAAAAAGCTTAGGAGTGTTTTGAGTAAATGTGATCTAAAATAACTCAAATATGTTTAGTTATCAAGTAATTGAAAATAATATAGAGATAGTAGTGGTGCTTTTAAGTATTTATGCGAGTTTAAGTGTCAAGGTGGCGAGAATTTATTGGATGTTAGATATTTAAAAAAATTAAAATTCTATTAATTAGAAAAGAGGTAGAGAAGGTTTCTCAAGACCTCTACTCAGAAAATGATTTGTTTTATTTGGCCAAAAACTGCTAAAAAAAATTTGGCCTAAAATATTAAACTTCAATTAGTTTCTCAAATATTACATAAAACAAAATTCGGTTCAAATTTTTATTCATGTCCATATTAAAAGGATAAAATTCTCATAATATTTAATTTAAGTAAGTTTTTAAAAAAACAAGTCTTACTCGTTCTAATAAAAATCTACTCGGACCAATTTTAAGGAAAAGTGAGTCTTTGTTGACTACAATGCATATATTTTGTGGTTTCAATTTTAACAAATAGTACTTAATTCTGAGTAATTATTGGCATACAAACTTCACTATTATCTCTACATACAAAAAATGTCCACAAACAATTATCCTAACATTGAAAATGGAGATTAAATTAGATATGATTTACATGTAAATTGGTAGCTTTATAGGAGAGATATTCACCAACGGGTCTTTGGTCCAATGATACTACTTACTTTGTGAGGTTTTATCTTTTTGAGGTCAAGGTTTTAAGTCCCCCTTCTCCCCTCCCAAAAAAAAAAAAAATGGGAGAGATACTTAATTTTCAATACATCAATTAGGTCATTCCATGTTTTTTCTCCGAGTGTGCGTTAAACAAAAAAATACACATCTTATATACGATACAAACTTTGATCATATATTATTACAAGGAAAATTTGGCTATGGGTATTCTTTGTAAAAAATTTTTGACTTTAACTACACAACTCAAAATTTTAAGCAATTAAAACCTCTTGTGCTTAAATTCTGTCATTACGTACACATTACAGTTTTCCTCTTTTTTTTTTTTTTGCATCACTTAATTTTCCTTGCTTTATTTCATGCATTACAGATTGACAGTGTTCTTTTTCCCCAATATGTAAATCTTAGATAAAATATATTCAAACGTTTGTTGATGGGTCAAGCTCAAGGATCCAACTCATGTTATAACTCTGGTCCGAGTTTTAAGGCCCAATTTCAAGAGGTCCACCAAGTTCAGCCCAATGTGATCAGTCTAGTCAAATTCATCAAGCTCAAGGAGTTAGGTCAACAAGGAGCATGCAAGGTCATCTGTGAGTCTCCTCTACACCACTAAGAGAGCGTCCAGGAGCCTCAACCCCATCGCTTGGAGAGCATCATAAACTTCCTTGACGTTGAGGAGAGCAGAGGTCGCCAAGCTATTTAATCACTATTAAAGTCACACCAACCCGTTATGACTATTAAACGACCACAACCCCGTTATGACCTTCCGACTAGCTATGCAATTACTACACTAAGCTACTATAAATTGTAAGCCTCACTAACACTTGAAGGGCATTAGACTCATTTGAGCATAATTCTCTCATCCTCTCTCAAAGTTTGTAATATTCTGCTCCCTTTCCACACCAGAGATAATAAAATACTAGCAACTCTTGTCATTCAAAGTGGACGTAGGCCACGTTGATCGAACCACTATAAACTTTTTCTTTTCTCTCCACTTATTTTACTGCATTTTATACTGCATACTTGACAGGTGGTGTGCAAACCAATTTTGTGCATCATCAGTTTGGCGCCGTCTATGAGAAGCAACAAAATTCTTACATAACTATTTTCTTTGCTCAATCAAAGTCAATCACCACAAGAACCATGAGTCAACATGAAGACAACCCATGAGAGGAGGAGGTTGCTCCTCCATCTATCAATCCCGTCTTAAATGCACAGCAGATGCTAGTCACAATGCAACAACTTATAGCCCAGAATCAACAAATTCTGCAATTGATGCTCGAGCAACAAGGAGGAGCGCAGCCTGGACCTCAAGCCAAGAAAGCTCCACTACCTGGTCATCAAGGAACTCCTCACCTTGGCGCTCCCCATCCAGGCGCCCCCCCCCCCCTTTGGGAGTTCCCTTAGGCGCTGCACACAAGGGGGCTCACC